GCCACATGCTCATTGGAGAGAAGCAAATCCTCCAAAGTCTGTCTGTATGGTTTAAGTGAATTGTGTCTGTAAAGTGCCTTAAGTTGATGTATTATGAATTGGCACTATATTGATACAATAAGATAAATTGAATTATTATCTTAAGAGCTGTAAATACAATTTTTAATCGAAGTGGGGTCCCCTATATATATATATATATATATATATATATATATATAGATAGCACTGAGGGCTGCTCAGTGGGGCAGTGGGTAGCAGCAGGAAGGTTCCGGGTTAGATTCCTGGCCCTGAGTCTTTCTGCATGGAGTTTGCATGTTCTCCCTGAGCATGCATGGGTCTCGCCTGTAGACAGTTAGAGATAGGCACCAGCACCCCTTGCGACCCTGCTTGGAATAAGCATGATGGAAAAGGGAATGGATGGATGCAAATATACTGCAAAAAAATACAAATATGATTATCTAACAATGTACTAAAAATAAATAAAGTAAAAATTGAAACTAAAAGCTTTTTAAAATTAAATACAACCATGTTTACATGTGTTTCATTTTGAAGTCACAAAAAAGGGCCCCAACCTTCATATTCTTTGTTAAGCCCATATCTTTGGATGTGGAGCACACAACCCTCCTACAGCTGCTCATCCACAAAAAGATGGACCAGGACTGTTATGATCTTGGAGCTGATGACTGGCTTAATCATTCATTTCATTCACCTGTCTAACTCTGCCTGGTTTCTAATCACTGCTCATCTGATCTACCTGCTCCTGCCTGTATTTAGGGTGCTTGCATCCAGCTATCATTGCCAGATTATCTTGTTCTCTCGTGCCAGAGGTTTTACTGTCCCTGAATGTTTAAGATTACCTGATCCTGACCTGTTCTGCCTCTCAACCACTAAGCCAGCCTGTTCCAGTCTGATCTTTTTGCCTGACCTGTCTTCGAACTCCTGCACCTCTGAGCCTTCCTGTTCTGAATTGTTGGGGACACTCTAGGCACCCGCCGCATCTTGTAAGCAGTGATCGTTTTCATGACACGGCCTGAACTGTTAAACCTGCGTAGCGACTCACCCGTTCATGTCATCCTTTATTAGATTTACATGGTCACTAACCTGTGTTTCCTTTTACAGAAAGATGCCCTGCTGAAGCACCCACCCATTTTTAAATAAACACTTTGAATTATCCCACTGTCTTTCTTGGCTCGAATACTGTGTCATTATTTTCTGAACCATGACAAGGACAGCTGATGCTTGACTAAAAAAACATGATGCTTCCTAAAAATGAGGTCATACAAATCCTGGGCCTTGATATGTAGCACTGCTCATTTCTAGGTGGTTAAGTGCAAATTCAAAAGTTGCTGAAGTGATTACTGTTGACCCGTATATGACATTGCCTACACCCCTGCTTAGTCCTGGTTAAAAGTCCATGTCTTTGTTATATCTGTGAAACTAAAAAGCTTGGGAACCAATGCTTCAGGTGTCATGTATGGGATCATGTTTATGCAAATGATCTATGTTTTCATATAAGAAGGCTGTACTGAATTTAACATACTAAAAGAGATTTAGTTTCTACTTCTCTTTGGAATGTGACCTATCAAATCTTCTCATGGAAATGAGCAATTCAATCCTTAGTCCTTGTTAGAAATCCTTGGTGAGATTAGATATGTGATTTAAATATGAATAAGACTATTTAGGCTAAATATAACCTCTCATTCAGCTACCTCGCTTCCACAGAGCAATAGGAGTTGAAAAAAAGTTGAAAAAGGAGAAAAACAGATGATCAGAAGATGAGAGAAGAAAGATGAAAAGAAGGAAGAAGAGGGAGGAGGAAAGAAATTATAAGAAGTCAAAAGATCAATCCCTAGTTTCGGATAATCTGGGCTCCCATAAAATTCTCCACCCCACCCACTGCCATACAGATATGCTCTCTTTTAGGGTAAATAATTAATTCACCCCAACATGAACACTTACACACATATACAAAAAAGCACCTTCACACATACTTCATCACCCCCACCTAGATAATGCTGCTGGCCAAGTTTACATCTAGCTCCACGGATAGAGTCTCCAAATACGATTAGCACTTATCAGAGGAGAGACCAAACTGCCATCATCTTTGAGTTCATCATAACATCCATATTCATGTATTTAAAATCCCCTCTGGAGTGAAACTGAAGGGATTCAAGCACCTGAAAACTAAGCTCTTAGCAGCTCTGTATTAAGGTCAGGCCTCAGTATAAACCATTGTCCGCAGTTTTAATCT